TTTTCTTATACCAAAAAGAGATTTCTCAAGGCCTCAATTCATCCATATTTCATATTTTTACAATACTTGCTTTGTAAACTAACACTGTTCACTTTGTGAGTGTTTATTAAGTGTAGGATGTTTTTGGTGATTCTAACCGTGCATGACAGGTCTAGACCAGGTACACTATATCCATTAGATCCTGAGATTGAGAGTACACGATCAAGGCTTCAGAGATTACAAAATCACAAAGAGAGTGCAGTATAAGACAGAGATGGCTGCAAACAACCACCAAGAGAGAACCTTGAAGGAGCACCAGCCACTTTGCATCCAAGTGCCTCAGTTACAAGAAGGCGCAACCACCTATGAATTGAAGTCTGGTTTGATATATTTACTGTCCAAATTTCACGGACTAGAAGGAGAGGATTCGCACAAACACTTGATGGAGTTCCATGTAGTCTGCTCTACCATGCGGCCAATAGACGTCCTTGAAGACTTTGTGAAGATGAAGGCATTTCCATTCTCACTGTGTGATGTGCCCAAGGACTGGCTTTACTTGTAGCCAACACCAATCACTACCTGAAATGACATGAAGAGGAAATTCTTAATGAAGTTTTTCCCTGCCTCCAGAACTTCAGCAATCAGAAAAGAAATAAGTGGGATCAGGTAACTGCAAGGAGAGACTTTGTATGAGTATTAGGAGAGGTTTAACAGACTTTTTGCAACCTGTCTGAATCACTAAATCAATGAGCAGCTATTGATCCAGTATTTTTATGAAGGTTTACTTCTTATGGAGATGAGCATGATTGATGCAGCTAGTGGAGGAGCTTTGATGGACAAGACCCCTGCAGTTGCAAGCTATTTGATTTCCAATATGGCAGAGAACTCACAATAGTTCAGTTCTAGGTGTGTGACCAGATTTGTGTATGAAACAGCAACTACCACTGTGGCTGCGGTCGATAATCAGAGGCTGAAAAATAAGCTTACGGAGTTAACTTTATTGGTGAGGCAACTAGCAATGGGACAGGCAGCGCCACAGATGCCACAAACATGTGGTATATGTTCAGGTGATCATTACACAGATGCTTGTCCTCAGCTGCAAGAGACATCTAGTGCACCATCCCATGTGGTGGCAGGTATACATCCTCTGTACCACCAGCAGCAATAGTATAATCCATTTGCACCTACATATAATTCAGGGTGGAGGAATCATCCTAACCTGCGATATGGTTTAGGCCCAACACAACATTAGCAGAGGTACAATTACCAATAGCCACAGCTTGTGTAGCATCCAGTCCACCAGCCAGCACAGCCACAACTGAAATATACTCCTCCTTCTCTCAGATAGCAAGCTCCACAGCAGCCACTTGTGCAACAACCTAATTCTGGCCCTTCTGTGGAAGAATTGATGAACCAGATGGCTACACAGAGTCTGTAGTTCCAGCAGAATGTTTCAGCCACTATACAGGATTTGCAGACCCAGATTGGGCAATTAGCTACCTCAATGAACAATCTGCAGCAGTAAGGGTCTGGAGCGTTACCTTCTCAACCTGTGGTGAATCCTAAAGGTAATGTCAGTGCTATAACTTTGAGAAGCAGCAAAGAGCTGAATAACGACCCAGTGCAGGCCAAACCAGCTCAGTCTAGTGCAAATGTCATAGAGAAGTCTATGCAGCAGCAGCAGATCCCTCTTCCATTTCCATTCAGAGCTTTTACATCAAAGAGAGTGGAGTCTGATCAAGAGCTGCTGGATACTTTCAAAAAGGTGGAGATAAATATACCACTGTTGGATGCCATTAAACAGATTCGTAGGTATGCAAAATTTTTGAAGGAGCTATGTACATACAAGAGGAATTTGAAGAAGATAGAAATTCAAATAGTCTTATCCCTGTCTCAGTCCAGTCTTCCACATAAATGTGATGATCCATGCACATTTTCCATACCCTACACTATTAGAGAAGCAACCTTTACTAATGCCTTGCTGGACTTGGGAGCTTCCATTAATGTCATGCCATCAGCAGTGTATAAAATGCTACATTTGGGATACTTGAAGCTAACCAATATGATTATTCAATTGGCAAACCATAACACAGCTCAGCCTTTGGGAGTGCTTGAAGATGTGTTGGTAAAAGTCAACTAGTTAATTTTTACAGCTGACTTCTATATTCTTGATATGTAGGATGAGAATTCTACATTGATTCTGGGGAGGCCATTTTTAATGACTGCGAGGACCAAGATTGATGTTCATACAGGCACATTATCTATAGAGTTTGGAGATGACACAATTCATTTCAATATTTTTGATGCCATGAGACATCCAACTGAGAGCCATTCTATGATTTCTAACCATTCTATTTTTCTAGTTGATATTGATGTTATAGGTTTTGATGTTGCTGTAGATGTCGATGTAGATGTAGATTTGGATTCAGACTTTGATTTTTCTCAATTTTCAGATTTAGACTTTGATGCTTTACCAAGCTGCACCTGTGATAGTGACATATGTTCCATTTGTGCTGAGATTGATACTGCCATATCTTCTATTGTTTTACCTTCCATTATAGGTGCAGGTCTAGATTTTGTTATATCTATGGCTGCTGCAGCCCCACAGCCTCCATTATCATTTGTTCAACAGCCGCCCTCATTAGAGTTGAGTCTTGTGCCAAACCATCTTGAATATGCCTATCTGGATGCAAAGCAGAGGTTCCTAGTGATTATTTCCAGCAGCCTTCTTGAAGACCAAGAGGATAAGCTGCTGCATGTCCTAAAGGTGCATAGGAAGGCCATTGGTTTGACCTTGACTGACATTCCTGGAATCAGTTCAGCTATATGTATGCACATGATTCACTTGGAGGATGAGTCTAGACCAGTGAGACAGCCCCAAAGAAGACTCAATCCTACCATTCTTGATGTAGTAAAGAAGGAGGTGACCAAGCTACTGATGGCTGGGATCATCTACCCCATTTATGATAGTACATGGGTTTCACTTATCCAAGTGGTGCCTAAGAAGTCTAGGATTACTGTTGTGTAGAACTAGGAAAATGAGATGGTTTCCACTAGAGTTGCCAACAAATGGAGAGAGAGTATGTATTGATTATCGGTGACTCAACCAAGGTACTAGAAAGGACTACTTCCCTCTCCCATTCATTGATCAGGTCATAGATAGGTTAGTAGGTAAATCCCATTATTGCTTCCTGGATGGTTTTTCTGGTTACCTACAGATTTATATTACTTCTGAGGACCAACACAAGACCACTTTCACTTGTCCTTTTGGCACTTTTGCTTATAAAAGGATGTCATTCGGCCTATGCAATGCACCTGCTACTTTTCAGAGGTGTATGTTGAGTGTATTCTCTGATTTAATTGAAAATTGCATGAAGATGTTTATGGATGATTTTACTATTTATGGTTCCTCATTTGATTCATTTTTGCATAGCTTGGCTAGAGATTTGGAAAGATGTGTTAAAACTAACCTTGTGCATAATTATGAGAAATGCCACTTTATGATAAGAGAAGGTGTAGTTTTAGGGCATCTTATTTTTGAGAAGGGAATACAGGTTGATAAAGTAAAAATTGATGTTATTTCCTCTCTGTCTTACCCCGCGTTTGTGCGATTCAGCACGATTGCTCTGCCATTATCTAGTCTTTTGCAGAAAGATGTACTGTTTTTATTCACTGATTCATGTAAGGAGGCGTTTGAGGAGTTAAGGAGGAGACTCACTGCAACACCTATCATGCAGCCACCAGATTGGAAGTTTCCCTTTGAGTTGATGTGTGACGGCTCTGACTTTGCACTTGGAGCTGTATTATCTCAAAGGGTTGGTAAATTTCCACATGTTATTACTTATGCCTCTAGAACTCTTGATGCAGCTCAGATAAATTATACCACCACTGAGAAGGAGCTACTGGCTATTGTATTTGCATTAGATAAATTTCTTTCTTATCTGCTTGGCTCCAAAATAACTGTCTTCACAGATCATGCTGCACTGAAATTCCTATTGAAGAAGCCGGATGCTAAACCTAGATTGATCAGATGGATGCTTCTTCTGCAGGAGTTTGATATTGATATAAAAGACATGAGTGGTGTGTTGAATCAAGTTGCTAATCACCTGAGTTGTATTGAAGGGACCATTGTCCTTTACCTATTCGTGACAGTTTTCCTGATGATTATTTATTTGCTCTGTATTCTATAGAATTTGTACCCTGGTTTGCTGATATTGTAAATTATTTGGTTACTTCTGTTGTACCTCCTGATGCATCTAGATCCCAGGTTGATAAGCTTAATAGTAATGCTAAATATTATATCTGGGATGATCTATATCTGTGAAAATTTTGTAATGACCAGGTTATCCGTCAGTGTGTTCCTGACCATGAGTTTCAGGATATTCTGCATTTTTGTCATGGCACATCTGTAGGAGGCTATTTTGGACCGCAGAGGACAGCCAAGAGAGTATTGGACAACGGATTTTATTGGCCCGCCATATTTAGGGACACAGGTAGGTTTTCTGAGAGCTGGGAGATATGTCAGAAGGCAGGAGGGACTATCACTAGGAGGCATGAGATGCCTCAGCAGCCCATTATTTTCTGTAAGGTTTTTGATGTTTGGGGCATTGATTTTATGGGTCCTTTTCTTGTTTCTACTGGATATTCTTACATCTTACTTGCTATTGATTATGTGCCCAAATGGGTGGAAGCAAAGGCCACCAGAACTAACGATTCTAAAGTTGTTTCAGATTTTCTCCGTACTCATATATTTTGCAGGTTCAGTGTGCTGAAGGCTGTCATCAGTGATCAGGGAAGTCACTTCTATAACAGGACCATAGCAGCATTGTTCCAGAAGTATGGGGGTTACACACAGAGGTGTTACACTATATCATCCCCAAACTAATGGGCTACCTGAGGTATTCAACAGGGAAGTCAAGCACCTAATACAGAAGTTGGTGCACCCTAACAGGAAGGACTAGAGTAAGTTTCTGGATGATGCACTCTGGGCTCAGAGGACAACTTACCAGACACCATTAGGCATGTCTCCATTTCGAGTGGTGTTTGGTAAAGCATGCCACCTTTCGGTGGAAATTGAGCATAGATCATATTGGGTTGTAAAGAGTTGTAACTTGACACTTGAGCAGGCTGGAATTGAAAGGAAGCTCCAACTTCAGGAGCTTGATGAGATACGCTTGCAAGCCTATGAGAATTCTAGATTGTATAAAGAGAAAGTTAGGAGATTTCATGACACACATATTCTAAGGAAAGAGTTCTCTATAGGCCAGAAAGTGTTATTGTTCAACTCTCGGTTGAAATTGATTGCAGGTAAGCTTTGATCTAGCTGGGATGGACCTTTTGCGATTACTCATGTTTTTCCCCATGGTGCAGTTGAGATTCAGGATGAAGCTACTGGTAGGACTTTTAAAGTCAATGGTCATTAGTTGAAACTATTCCAAGAGAGCAAACCAGTGAAGTCGGCTCAGAACATAGTTGATTTATCCTTTGTGGAGCCTACTTTGATGAAGGATGTGTCTACATAGGCACTTGGGGCATTATTTTCTTTGACTTTTGTTTCTTTTCCTTATACTTTCCTTTACCTTTTCTTGCATATGTTTTGCATTTTCTATTTTTCTTGGATTTCTTGCATATGTTTTACATTTTCTATTTCTTTTTCCCACATTGCGGACAATGTTTGATTCAAGTGCGGGGGGAGTATGTCTTAGCATATTTTTCATTGGATTACTTTGATTTTAGATTTCATTTGTGTGAACAACTTTTTATTTGTCATTCTTAGTTGAGAGTTCCATAACATGATAGAATTGTTTCATGCATTTGAGTTTAGCTGATTTTTCATGATAATTAGATTTTGGATCAATGATTGGTAGAATAATTACCTTAGTAAGATTTGAGCTTATTGTCTTTCTTTTGTGATTCATGATAGTCATATTTTAATACATCTTTCTCTCTATGTTTTCGATTTAATTGAGTCTTTTTAGTATATTATTTTGATGTGTTAGTTTAGATTTGTGTTGGTAAGTCATTTAGGATTTAAATTTAAATCTTTCTTAATTCCCGTCATAAATTTTTGTTTTGACACAGTTTCTTGAAAAGACCATATCTGGAGCTACACTACTCGGAATTGGACAAAATTGGTGTCCCTGGAAAGATAAGAGATATAACTACAACTTCTCTGTTGCGAGAAAAGCCCAGTTCGAACATCTTCAGGCCCAAAACTGCGTCACAATGTTACGGTCCTGCAATGAATTTTTCAGAATTTGGTTTTATTGTTGACATTACTTAATTAGGGTTTTAGGAACCTGGGCCTTAATTAAGCCCAATTATTTTGTCTTTAAATAGGGTTTATGATTTCACGTGGGGATCATCCTCCCTCTTTTTTGCCTTAATTTTCAGAATTTTAAATAAAAGCTTTCGTAAGGATTCCTCTCGTCTCCCTCTCTTTTATTTTCGGAAACTTCATCCCCTTCTCTAATTGGTCGAGCAACATGATTATGAAGCAAGTCTAATTCATCAACCGGTTCAAGGTTTCAAAAACTACATTGCATTCGAGTTTCAAAATAGGTTTTATCGAATTCCTCCTTTTCTTCCTCTTTTCTAATTAGGTTAATTACGTTTTTCATGATATGGAATTTTCGTTGCATCCTAAATAGAAAGAATAGGTTAATTTCAGATTTGAATTAATTGGATTCACCTAATTTAATCAATCAATTGTTCTAAATTTTGTTAAAGCATTGGGTTTGCGATTGCGGTTGTTGTTTTGATGGAATTCATAATCTAGATTTAGATTTTAGGGTTGTTGATGCGCATTGAATTAGTGTGATTGGAAATTCGTTGGGATTATATTTGTGTGAACGACGAGAATTGCATTGTAGGGATTGAGATCTTGAATTGGTTGAATTTCATAATCCTTAATTTTCATTTTTGTTATTTTGTCGTTTAAATTCAAAACAAATCCTCCCCCAATCTAATTTGAAATTGCATGATGGAACTAAAAATAAAATGCATTTTATGTCCTTGAAAGATGACCTAGGTTTGCTTCTTGTATTGCACAAATTTTTTAGAAAATCTAGCTTGTTTGATACCATTGCGACGTGGTTATCAAAATGGCGCCGTTGCCGGGGACATAAGTCATTTTGTTTTTATTTCATCATTATGTGATTGTGTGTTTTTGTGATTCACTCTTCTGCGTTTGCGTTTTCGTTTTCGTGTGCATTTTCTTGGGTGTTTTCGTTTTCGTCGTAGGGATTCTGTTTGTCTATTTTTTTTTGTTTATTACATTTAGTTTTACAGATTTAATTCGTGTTTTTAGTGTTTAGTTGTGTGATTGGTGCCATTGTGGTCAATTGTGTGTGGCTGGATGCGAAAAATAGAGGACTAGTAGAATAGAAAACATAGATGCTGCATAATTGCTATCAGATTTCACTGTTCATCGTGCACTGTTCACGTACTGTTCACACACTATTTATGCACTATTCATCCGATTTTGAAAAATTCCAAAAAAAATAGCTAGAGATTGAATTTTGATCTAAATTTTTGTGTCCACATTTCTTTTAGTGTCTATTAGTGTTTAGAGTTGGTAGATTGCAAAAATCATTTATAGAAAAAAAGATACATCTTGGTGGCCGAGAAAATTTTTGCGAAACTTCAAAGTGGCATAATTTTTGCTAGAAAACTTAGAATTGAGCTTATTGCATATGCATTTGGGGTAGAAAAAAATTTCCTATTCAATGCAACCCGCTTTGCCGATTGAGGCTGTCCAGAATTTCAAAAATTGCTTGTTTTCTAAAATTTTTTTATTTTTTAGTATTTATTGACCTATTTTTCTTGACTTTAGGCTTCTAGTTCCATAGCAATTCAATTCAAAAAAATCTGAAAATTTTTGTGGTGTTTTCCCATACCAAAAAGAGATTTATCATGGTGCCCCTTCATTCATATCTTGCATTTTGATGGTACTTGCTTTGTAAACTAACTTTGTGCATTCATTGAGTATTTTCTGTTCTTGTTGGTTCTAACCTTGAATGACCAGGGCCAACCCTGTTATATTGCATGAACCTGACCCTGAAATAGAAAGAACACTTCGGAGGATAAGATCTAGCAAAAATAGTGGTAGTGGTAGTGGTAGTGGTAGCTTACTTGGTGATTCTGAAACTATTACTGTTATTCCTGTTGTTAGGGAGAACATGGCTGATAATCCTGAGCTAACTTTGAAGGAATTGGCCACACCTAATGTTGTGTATCAGTCATGGTGTGTCCAATATCCTGAAGATGAAACAACCTCTTATGAACTTAAATCTGGACTTATCCATTTGTTGCCAAAGTTTCATGGACTTGCAGGTGAAGATCCTCATAAGCATTTAAAAGAGTTCCATGTGGTGTGTTCCACCATGCGACCACAAGGAGTGCCTGAAGACCATGTCAAGATGAAGGCGTTCCCCTTCTCCCTGAATGGTGTTGCGAAGGATTGGCTCTACTTCCTACCTTCAACAATCACCACATGGAATCAAATGAAGAGGTTATTTCTGGAGAAATTCTTCCTTGCCTCCAGAATCGCTGCAATAAGAAAAGAGATTTGTGGTATAAGGCAGCTGAATGGAGAGACCTTGTATGACTACTGGGAGAGATTCAACAAGCTGTGTGCTACCTGCCCTCACCATCAGATAAGTGAGCAATTACTAATTCAATATTTTTATGAAGGGCTAACTTTGATGGACAGGAGCATGATAGATGCAGCAAGTGGAGGAGCATTGATGGACAAGACACCACAGGCTGCGAGACAGCTTATTACAAACATGGCAGCCAACACTCAACAATTCGGATTCAGAGGAGCCGCTAAGGGAGTGAATGAGATAGCACTTGGTGCTGGTACTGGTGCTGTTCATGGTGTGGAAATTCAAAGGCTGGAAAACAAAATCAATGAGCTGACCACCATGGTGAGGCATTTGGCAATTGGCCAACAACAAGTGAATCCAGTAAGTGAGCAGCTAGCAAGAGTCTGTGGGATATGTACTTCCACTGAGCATCCTATAGATTCATGCCCTACCCTGCAAGAGACGGATGCGAATGTTTCTGGAATCTACACCAACCAACAGCAGCAATATAGATCTCCACACCAACAGCAGAATTATAACCCGTACTCCCAGACATATAACCCGGGCTGGAGAGATCATCTAAACCTGAAATGGGGGCAGCAGCAACAAGGTCAACAATCTTCATTTCAACCTACTGCAGGCAAATATCAGCCTCCATTCAGGCAACAGCCACCTCCACCTTCAACACCTCCTTCTACATAAAGGAGCGAGCCATCATTCCAAGAGATGATGCAACAGATGGCTGCAAACAACCTACACTTTAAACAGAACATGCAAGCAACCGTCCAGGATTTGAAGATTCAGGTTGGACAGCTAGCCACTCAAGTGAGTCAGATTCAGTCTCAAGGCTCCAGTAATTTTCCTTCTCAAACAGTCATGAATCCAAAGGGCAATGTGAGTGCTATTACCCTGCGAAGTGGAAAAGAGTTACCAGCAGTTCTAGCTGCAGCACCAGATTCTGAAAATGAGAGTAGTGCCACTGAAAAACATGTTCCGTTGCCTTTCCCGAGCAGACCAGCAGCAGCAAGAAAAAAACCAAAGTTGGACAATGAGTTGCTGGACATGTTCAGCAGAATAGAAGTAAATATTCCCCTCCTTGACGCCATCCGACAAGTTCCAAAATATGCAAAGTTCCTAAAGGAATTGTGCACCAACAAGAGGAAGCTAAAGGGCAATGAGAGAGTGAGCATGGGAAGAAATGGCTCTGTACTCCTCTAGAATAAAAATGTGTCTGCAATCATTCCACAAAACTTGCTCCCTAAGTTGCCACAGAAGTGCAAGGATCCAGGAACTTTCACCATCCCTTGCACTATTGGAGAGGAAGTTTTTACAAATGCTATGCTGGATTTAGGTGCTTCAATTAATGTTATGCCTGCATCTATTTTTAGATCCTTGCAGATTGGAGATTTGATTCCTACAGGAATTGTAGTCTAGCTAGCAAACAAGAGCACTGTGCAGCCACTTGGTGTCGTAGAAGATGTTCTTGTCAAAGTTGAGGACCTCCTTTTCCCTGCTGAATTTTATATTCTAGAGATGGAGGATGACCTGCCCAGCCATGCTACATTGATCCTTGGGAGACCATTCTTGAGGACGGCGCGAACAAAGATAGATGTGCATGCAGGGACCCTTTCTATGGAGTTTGGTGACAATTTGGTACAGTTCAACATTTTTGAGGCAATGAGACACCCAACAGAGAACCATTCTATTTTCAGTTTGGATGTTATTGATTTACTTGTTGATGATTGTACAAATTTAGATGATTTGTTTGCTGATTCCTCAGACCTTACTAACCCATCATGTGCTTGTGATGATTCTTCTATGTGTGTTGTTTGTAG